TATATGTATCTATGTATGTATATATGTATGTATGTATGTATGTATGTATGTATGTATATACATATATATATAGATATAGATATAGATATAGATATAGATATAGATATAGTGATTGGAGTTTGGAACTATGATTGGATTGAGCGGGATGATACTGGTTCCTGTGATGGTTTTCCATATATCTTTGTGGGATGCACTTGGCAGCTACCTTAGCAAGACAAAGGGGAGAGAGAGAGAGAGACTGACAGAGAGACAAGGAAAGAGTCGGCGAGAGAGAGAGAGAGAGAGAGAGAGTCAGATAGAGCAAGTGAAAACAAGAGGAAGAGCCAAGAGAAAGGAGAGAGCGAGAGATTTGGGCCCATTGTTCTGGCCGTGCTGGGTTCCTGGCTAAATGGCTTTGTCATACACACCTTAGCGAATCTTGTGAGTGTTCTGGCTCCCTGCGGATGACCAAAAAGGTTACCTGTCACAAAAAGCTCCGTGTGCAGCTGAAAAGTTTGTTTTTTGTTTTTTTTACAATTTTCTAATTTTTTTATACAGAAACTGACAGAAACAGTATTTTTCTGATACAAAAGCTAGTTTTCAGTGCAAAACAAAAAAACGGAGGTAGCAATGCATTTTTTTCAAAATTAAGGCTCAAAATCAGACACATCACCGGGACCGGCCGAAATCGCATTTACCGATTCCTTTAAAAAAAACCATAAAATCAATCCCTGAGGCTTCCTGCCGGCAGGGCTCTGCCAGAATCTGCCAATATATTTTTTTTCAAAGGAATGCGAGTGGTTTCGTTTCACGCGTTTCGTCCCTGTGAATGGTTTGAGATGATATTTTGAGAAAATCATCGATCAATACTGGTCGAAAATGATCTACGCGTTTGTTCCCTGAAACGCGTTCAAGCTTTTTTTTGCCATGCTTTGGCCATCCGGTGTGGTCAGTGAGCGGTCCTACGCGTAACCGGTTGCCCTGAGTTCCCCGGAGTTCCCCGGAGTTCCCCGGAGTTCCC